CTTTATACACTTGCGAGTCATAAACCCAGCAAATATTGCTTCTGTGCCAGAAGCCAAAAAGTTGTTAATATTTTATTATCTAGTCTTAAATTTGCCGAGTGAGGCAATTTTATTTGCTTGCGAATCAGATTTCGCACTCATCTCACAATACATATAATATCAAGAGCTTTGGTTTATTTGACTTTATCAAACTGCGCTGCGCAGATATTCAATTTGAAGGGCAGGAATTTAACAATTGATGAACAGACTTAGACTTAGACTTAAAGCTGAAAATTGATGTATTTTGATAAGGTGATGTATATTAAATAATATGAAACGCTTAGGCTTAGACTTGAGTCTCTTATATGCATATTTGATATATAGTCAAATTTTCTGCATCTCTTTCTCTCTGCGTTTCATATTTCATGTCAAGGCCCAACTACCCTTAGTCCAGCCATATGCAAACCAACAACCCACATACATCATATCTAGTGTTTCGCCACTAGTCTGTGCCTTGTGATTATTTGTCTTTGCCGTGTGATTAATTCAGCTTTTTATAGATTATCGAAGCAGTGTATAAATAGTATTTATTAAATACATATGCTTGCATTACAACAGCAATGCCATTACGTTAGTAATAAATGTGTGCATAAGAATGCAACCAAAGCGTCACAGCTCATAGATACATATAGATGAAGCCAGTCATCATGGGTAAACATTATAATATACAACATTATATGCCATGTAGCAGACAACATATCAGACTACATCTAGATCCATTAAACATCTAGAGCTTACATCTATCAATTGATTTCGAATAGGAACGAACAGCAGCTAAATGCATTTTTAAAAGTCTCTCGATTGACCAAGGAGAAATGTAACCAGAGATAAATGTAAACTCTCACTCAACGGCGGCTAGGAAAACCATTTGGCTGCCTTTCCCATTTGCCATTTCTCTTGGCAACGCGTGGGTCAAGTCCTGGCGAAGGAGAAAATGTGCAACAGCAAAGCTCGAATTTCACTTCTGCTTTCCTTTGCGTCATTTTCTTGTAATTAAACGGTAATAAATGACGCCGTCGAATGACTGTGCACAAAGCAGCGAAACACAATGATAACAATGCGCCCGTCTTACTTACATATACCCAGCTGGACTAAGCAATAAACTTGACACTTCAATCGAGGCTTAGTCAATGAACTTACTATTAATCTGATTCCCAGATATATTGAAAATGTGATTCTCATATAAGCCTTGTTGACTTTCAATTTTTAATTTGGCTTTAAGGTACTCTAACAGTAGTTTTCTGGATTATTTACGTTTCACTCTTCAATCTTTTCTAAACATTTTTCTACACTCTAGTTTATATCTATATTATATTATGATTGTTATGTTCTATTTCTAATGAGTCACTTATTTTTCTCTCCCTCGCTTTACTTTTCTAGACTCGTCTATAGTTTCTAGGGTACGAAAATAATCTTCGTTCTTTTTACTCTCGTCTAAAGTCTTCACTTGACATTGAACTTACTCTTCTTACACTACTATTATCATTGCTACACTCTCTTACCGCAAAGCTTTAAAGTAAGCTACAGCCTTCAATGTTTTCTATAGTCATCTATTCACATTGATTTCAAGTTTCTATATTTTGTTAGCTTTATAGGTTTACTGAGATTTTATCAGAGTCTCCAGTCTTCATAGACTTTTAGACTCCACACATCGTAAGCAATTTTTTTCTGAAGTGTTCTCTGTCGCTCCTGTCAGCGTCCTTCACTCTGAAATTTTTCGAGGTTTTTTCTATACTCTATATCTACGCTATAACACTCCGCTTTAGATTTACTCTACAGTCCTCACGCTCTTTTTCGCTGCCTACACAACGAAGTCTTCCAAGTAGTCTACACTTTGTCTACTTGCTACTCTTCGAATTAATAAGTTCTATACTTGGTACATTCCTCTACTCTACATATATTCACAGCTCTCCAATTTAAGCTTCATTTATGTATTCCACTTTAAGCTATACTCTCCATCTCTCCATAGTCTATTTAAACTTTCTCTCTTTTCTCCACACTCTCAAGAGTTTCGCACTTTTCCCTCTACTCAGCACTCTATTCGATACCTTTACTCTGCTCTAACGAGCATCTTCTGCTTCCGTATTCCTTACGTGCTTCCCACCAAGCAGTTGTTGCTAAGGCAAGCAAGATAAATGACCAACTAATTGTCGAGTTGACAGAGCAGGTGATAAATGTAAATGGTTAGCAGAGGAATAACAAGAAACTGAACGTTTTTCAGGCAATTGATATAGGCATTAATTTTCTGCTTAATTTGCATGTTGATTACTTTGAAAAGCATTTGTCATTGTAAACAGAATTACATCTACTTACATATATATGCTTATGAAAGAGCAACGATTATTATAAACTGCTGCTGCAACCTTTCGATTTTGCACAAGTGAAGCCTTATCAATAGGCGCGACAACTGTATTTACCAAGAAGGGGCACTCACTATCGCGTGCTGCTGGCAGTGATTCATCCGTGGAGCTGCAGTGGGGGTCAGTGGATCGTGGGGAACTCAAGCGTAACCCATTTAGATAAATGCAGTCAGCTGGCTGTAATATTTGCCAAAAAGTAACGATGGCGATAACGAGACGGGGTCAAACAGAGCCAGTCGAGCGTCCTTGAGCATCATTTGCAGCTGATTCTGGCAGCGTTCGCACTTGAAATTGAATAGTCAACTGAAGCTGAGGGGAGCAGAACCCTTGCGCTTAACCCTGTCCGGGCTGTTTCAGTGAAGGCGTGACATTGTCGTTTGCCTTAAAAACTTTCGCATAGTCTGCTGAAGCTGTTGCTAGTGGCCTGGCCGGGTGCATGGGGGCGTATGATTTATGCGCATTACACATACGCACTGTGTGCCACATGCAACCATAATAGATACACAGCAGCTGCCTTGAGATGGCCCAGCTTAATGTCCACTGGGACAAGAAATTGATTTGCCGCTCACGTATGGCAATCACATGTAGCTATGCAGCCCAATCTCCCTCTACCTCTCTCACTCTCCCTCACTCTCTCTTTCTCTCTTGTTCTCTCGTGTCCTAGACGACGATTTTAATTATGCTTGTCACTCAGTGCGCTGGCCCAGGCATATCAAGTGACTTCAAACAAATCATGGCTGCACAAACTCTTTGAAATTTCTCGCACGCAATTTATTAAAGTCGCGTCGATAGCACCACACGGCGCTAATTGTATTAGCCAAATTATAATTAAATCAATACGCAGACAGCCGAAAGCCGAAAGCCGAAACTCAAGAATTAAGTCAATTTGCTGATTGTGCACGGAGTGGGGAGTCGTACGAGTGCAAATACTCCAGAAGCCACTTTACAATTGAGCTAAATCGACCAGTCAATACACTCGGCCCTATTCCCGCGTGGCCGCCCATTCGATTTGAATTAATTAGCCGAAAGCCAATTACGCAAAACGTCGACTTACGCAAAATGTTGGCCAACAGCACGCAATCAAGCGGCCCAGTGGGAGCTGCCCTGCAGGACGCGTCACGATTTGACCAAGAACCCAGCAAAAACAAATACAGCCGACTGACTGAGTGACTGCCTGACTGAGTGACTGAGCGTGGGTCGCCTTTATGAGGGCATGTCCGATGGCCCAAAGAGTCGCGTTAATTTGACAAGCCGCTCGCTCAACGTATGCCCGAGGCAGACACTTAAAGTGTCGCTGCGCCGCGATGATGAAGTGCGTCGGCGTTGCCAGTGAAAGCGGCGAGTCGGTGCTGCGCGTCGGAGCTACCACAGTTTGCACTTAGCTGCAACTGGCACACGTGCGCGGCGCAAGGAGCAGCCAATTAAATGGAAAATGTTCTCATCGTTGTCATAGCTTGATTGATGCCACAGCAGTTGGCAAAGTGGCAAAGTGGCAAAGTGGCAAGTGGCTAAAGGCTCGAGGCAAGTGGCAAGTGGCAAGTGGTGTCTGGTGGCAAGTTGCAAGCTGCAAGCTGCAAGCTGCAAGCTGGCCATGCTTAAAGCTTAAACGCTTGCCACACACCCGGCCATTTGTTTGGTGCGAGCTGCGGTAAACAAGCCGCGCGCGAAACAGATACAGAAACCAGATACCGAGCACACACAACAATAACGGTAAAGATAAAGCGCCAACAGCTTGATTGTTGTACTATATCTTTTTTTTTGTTCTACTGATACCCTGTAGTTACTCAAATGAGTGAAAGTGAAGGGGGGAGTAGAGGTAAGCATATTTTATATGCGAAGGATTATCGATATTTATCGATTTTGTATATAAAATTGAACAATGTACATGTAGTTAATTAAATAAGTATTTGTGTAGATTTTTAAAATTTTTTAAAATTTAATTTTAATTATTTTTAAATTTGCAATATTTTATTTCCATAAATAAAGTCTCTTTCGTATAGAGCTCATGACTGTGGTGTGATAATGATGCAGGTAGAGAAAGTCTAACATATGTACAATTTAAGCAAAGTGGTAAGGTGGATTATTCAATCCTCCGGGTTGGAGTGGGATTCGTGCTAAACTCTCTTTAGTTTTGAATGTCGTTGATGACGTGTTTCCTGGTAAGGTCCTTAAATATGCATTCATTCATTTTGATGGCCCGAAATGTTAACAAGTGCGAGCAATTAAAGAGGAGTAGGTACACAGGGTATGAGCTAGTCGGGCACACTTACTGCTGCTCATTAGTTGCTGGCGCTGCAGTCTTATCGACTGCGAGCTGAACATGGAAACGTATTTTTGGCAAATATTTATCAATTTATTGTACTAAAAAATTGCTACAATTACTCACGTATACATATGTGCGAGTGTGTTTGTGTGTGTGTGTTTACATGTGTGTAAACGTGCCGAACGATGATTAATTTTGTTCTCTTGTTATCCGCAGCTACATAGAAGGGCTCGTGTGTGAGCGGTTGCAAGGGAGCAGGAGTGGTAGCAGCAGCAGCAGCAGCAGCCGCAAGGGAAGGATAACTTGTGGGTGTGTATGCCACACACACACACACACACATAGAGAGCCACACAGCTGCAGAGATGGCAGACATGGCGTATGCGCAACATGCAACTGCAACAAGTGCAACAACATATGTTACTTCAGTTTATTTACTGAGCAATTCGCGTCAATTAGGCTACACACGCTCCAAGGCGCAACATAATTGAAACTGTCTGCAATTGCCATCATTACAACAGCAACAACAACAACAACAACTAAGAAGGAAAATAACTTAAGCGAAAATTAAATCAAATTTATTGAACGCCTCAATTGGTCTCTGCCAACATGTCCGAGTTTCGGTTCTTCTCGTACACCGACTTTGCTTTCAGAACGAATCACTCGCAGAATCTGATCAATCTGCCCTTTACGCAATACCATGCCGCCGCCAGTACTCAGCAGACGGAGGAGACATCGGAGGACATCGTGCTGAATGTGCCGTACACCGTGTTCGAGGTGCTCGTGGCCATCATCAGCATCATTGGCAACCTGATGGTGATCATTGTGTTCCGGCGCGAGCGGAAGCTGCGCCGTCGCACCAACTACTACATCGTCTCGCTGGCCATGGCCGATTTTCTGGTCGGCTCGCTGGGCGTGCCCTTCGCCATACTGGCCTCCATCGGTTTGCCCAAGAATCTGCACGCCTGCCTCTTCACCGTCTCGCTGCTGATAGTGCTCTGCACCATATCCATCTTCTGCCTGGTCGCCGTCTCCGTGGATCGCTACTGGGCCATACTCTACCCGATGGCCTACTCCCGCAATGTGCGCACCCGCACGGCGATTGGTAAGTGAAAGGCGGGGCCTCTGCCTCCGGCTAATGCATCTCTATATTGTCGAACTTTCCTGTTGCATCTGCTGTGGCAACAATGCCACAGATAATGGCCAACAAATCAACATATTGCACATTGTTCTGCCTGACAGCCCGGCCATGTTTGAGTTGCAGCTTTGTGTGGCCTGGCAGGAACTTCATAAGACAAAAGAAGTGAAATGAGAACAAAGCACTGAATGCAGCCTGCACTGCTTTAAGGATATTCAAGGCTATTTATTTCACTGCACAACAGATGAATTGATGTAGAAATCAGTTTGACAACAGCTTGAGTAGGCCATGTAGAACTAATCAAGGAGAAATTGAAACTCATATGACATACAAGAAAACAAGAAAGACAAACTACAGTGAATAGTAATAAAAGTAGAGCAAAAGTAGTCAAGGAGAGTATTGAGCAATATATTTCAGTTAATAAAGTGGTAAATGAGGAGAGTGTGTGTGTGAGGATTATATGAGTTTCTGGTAACAAACTCTGTCTACAATATTTATATACCCGAGGAAATAATTTCCCATCTTAACTAATATTCATATCACTCGATTTGTTTATCGATTACTGTAATAAATTTAAAAAAAAAATAAAAAAATTATAAATAAATTAAAATAAATCAAATTATAGCTCTTGTAGGTTTCTATAGATAAAAGTTAAGTCATTAAAACCAACATACCCTATTTTCCCTTTTTAATGAGTTAAGAATTAATATTAAAAGAAGAAAAAAAAAAGTTATGCATATTTAAAATATATGCTGCGCAGATAAGCAAATAATCGATAAATTATGTACTGCAAGTAACCCTAAAGTATGATATGGTATGGTGTATAGTATATACACTTGCACGGAGTTACTACATTTCAGTAAAAATATTAATCCATTTAGCTAGAAAAATGCCGAGATAAGTACTGCGTAGTCAAGAAAATACTCGTAAGAACGAAGAGTGTTGAACGTGAATGGCCTTCAAAGACTGCCAGGCTAGTGTTACTGATATCTACAAAGAACGATAAACATGTAAGAGCATTATAAGTTACTCATAGGCTAGACTAAAACAAGCAATTCGGATTACATTGAGTACTTGTTGAAGCATGTTTCATGAGCTTGTGTCAATGTAAATGCCATAGACTACAATAGTATGTAAGGAATAGAGAGAGGGAGAGTGGGAGATTATGTATAATAAATATAGAGACTGTATGGTAGTGTCGCGTAAGACATGATAGTTAAATCAATGAAATAATCAATTCAACATAAGTTTAGCTGCATGGCTGATGGCGAGCGACAGTCGAGTGGCCATAGAGAAAGAAACATGTACAAATTCTAGCCATGGCTGGAGCATGCATTGAGACATGAAGAATTAATGAGAAATCGATTTAAACGGATATGAAGGACATGTGGCTTAATTAAAATGACATGGCACAAAGCTAGAGCTGGGAGAAAAGCAATTATGAATTTGTTTGGCATAACATCTTACATGGTGGTGCTGCTGGTGCTGGAACCTATTAAAGAGCTCTGCTCTGTACGAAAAACAAGGGCAGAGGGAAAAAAAAAAGGAAAAACAAAAAGTTTTCTATTGACATAATGGGAAAAGAATTAATTGCTTTTAATTACATATCCACGGCATTTGGTTAGCTCGACGAAGTTGATTTCTTTCTTCTTTTTTTGGGTTCGATGGCGTGTGCGTCATTTGGTCAAATGCATTTGGTTCAATGTACTGTTAGGAGTGGAACGACTGCAGCAAAGCCAGACAATAGCCAGAGTAGACAGAGTGATGAGTGGCATCCATGCAGCATAGTCGTAGCTCTCAATAGCATTTTCCTCAGAGCTGACAGTTGAGTCACGATTGGTGCGATGACGTCAAAGTGCCAAGGACTTGTGTGGGGCTTCGGCTTCGCTGGCTGTGTCTGCTATGCTAATCCAGTGCATCTATCATCCCTTTTGCAGTCATCATATCCGTGTGCTGGTTGGCTGGCGCAATTGTGGGCTTTCTGCCGCTCTTCGGCTGGCACGCGGATGTGCCCCACGATCAGACCTGCCTGTTCGTCGAGGTTATGGACTACAACTATCTGGTCTTTCTGTACTTCACCACCATCATCACGCCGGCCCTGCTCATGCTGGCCTTCTACACGCACATCTATCGGGTGATTATCAAGCAGGTGAGTGCAACCGCTCTTCTACATTATTCTGGATTATGTTTCAGCTCACTGCTAATTGCCGCAGGTGCGCCAGATAGTGACCATGAATCCCGCATCGGATCTGAGCCGACGCTCCTCCACCGCCCAGATGCAGGTGACCACAACGGGGCGCGGCGGCCACACGGGCACCATGCTCCGCGTCCTGGGCGCCGCACGCAAGCGGGACGTGAAGGCCACGCAGAATCTGTCCATCATTGTGCTGTTCTTCATGATCTGCTGGATACCGTTGTACACGATCAACTGCATCAAGGCCTTCTGCCCCAACTGCTACGTGCACCCCAAGCTGACGCTCTTCTGCATCATACTCTCGCATCTGAACTCCGCGGTCAATCCCGTGCTCTACGCCTACCACCTGAAGGACTTTCGACTGGCGCTGAAGAACCTCATGCTGAAGCTGATGGGCGTGGACATCGATCAGCAGGCGGAAGCCATACATCGCTTCTCGCTGGCCAGCCAGCACCGTCTGCAGTCCATGGACTCCACCATGCGCACCACGCAGCCGCGCATGTATGTGGGTGAGTGTGAGTGCGCGTCGTCTACTTTAATGCTATGCGAATGGTGGGCTAATGATCCTCTCTCCCCATTCACAGACTCGCCCATTTGGCTGCGGCAGCAGCAGGAGGCGCTCAAGAACTCCCAGCTGCTGCCCAAGTGCGGCGTCCTCACGCCCTGCGTGAACAGCATCAACCAGACGGTGGCCGCCGCCGTGACCGCCTCCACGGACATTGAGCGCGACATGTGGAACATTGTGGAGGCCTCCAGCGGCGCGGAGCTGGGTGAGATTAGCTATGAGTTTCCCAGCGCCAAGCGGGAGAGCGATCATGAGAGCAGCGCCTCGATTTCAGTGCCGGCGACTGCGCAGCCAGCTGTGCAGCCAGCGTCGCAACAGCAGCGCTGCGACAGCGCCTTCTCGTACGACAACCAGAACTACTCGACGGGACCTGAGGACGGCATCAGCCTGCCCGACGACCTGGACGAGTATGAGGATGTGTTTGTGCCGCCAAGCGGCAACCACAACTACCAGGGCGTCGATCCCGTCGAGCTGCGTCGCTCGTTGGCCTGTGTCATGCGCGAGAAGCTGCGCAGCGATGACACCGACTACTACAGCCAGCAGGTAGCACTGCAGGATGCCAGCAGCGGTGACCAGGAGCTGGAACGGGTCAGACCCTGCTCCACGCGCACTTCCCCCAGCAACGGAACACTGCCGCAGCAGCTGCGTGCCAAACTGCTCGCCGGCAACTCGAACAGCGATCACTGCCTGCCCCTGCCCAGCACAGGTGCCAACAGCGCCGGCATCTATGTCATCGATGGCGCCACGAATCCCCTGTCGCCCGGCCACAAGCCCAAGTATCGCAAGTCCACGGCACTGACGCGCAACTCGCGCAAGAAGAGTCGCTCCTGCACCTGCGCCAACGAACAGAAGCAGGCGAGTCCTGGCGAATCAGCCAACTCAACAGCCGGCCAGTCTAACCATAGTATCAGCACCAGGCAGTCGGAGGAGTCGCCGCCAGCTCAGACGAGTCACGAGCACTTCTTCAGTCCGCTCAAGTCAGTGGGCAGCTTTATGCACCATTCCAATATTTTTAATCTCTTCCAGCCGCACGCAACGGCGGCCTCTGCCCCAACGGCGTTAAACACTGCTCCTGGACCAGGCTCAGAGACGGGGACGGGGACGGGGACGGGGACGGGGACAGGAATAGGGCCGGGCACAGGGACAGGATCAGCATCAGGGGAAGACACTGGAGCTGGACCCACTGCTCCGCCATCCATGCCCAATTCACGACTGACCATTGGGCCATTGACCTCCACGTCGGCCTCTTCGTCCTCGTCTCTAGTCGCTGCCAGCGTTGAGAGTTGACCTACGGTCGATGCTCCCCACGTGGCAGGCAAAGACTAGGCAAATACTCGCAAGACAAAAGCTTTTAGCATAAGTACCTAGTTTTCGAGTTTCAAACGACTCCATCTTAGATCAATGCTTGGAACAGCCGGAAACGGAATAGAAACGGATACGGAAACGAAAACGAAAACATTTCCAGCTCTTGATGTTCCTGCAGTTTCGTGAATCATGAGCATTTATTTTTCAATGTAATTATGTTTATTTCCCTTGTTTAATTAGTTAATTGTTTGGAGCTAAGCTTAAAGTCAATTTATAAGTAAACCCCCATTTTTTGCATACTCGTATATTTTCTACATGCATACATACATAGATATACAACATATGTATAAGTATTAAAGTGCTTAGAAATCTATTGATGTTATCTAAACCAATGTATCCTATATATAAATATATATGCATGTGTGTTTAACTAAGTATACTTGGAACGTCTGTGAAAATCAATATGTATATAAATATATATTAATGTACATACATATATACTTACGTGTATATTCAATGTATTGTTGAAGATCAAATAAAAGTTGGAAAATACCATGATATCAAATTAAAATCGTGTGCCTAAGCTTTTATTTTTTGGCATTTTTTAAGACGTTTCGGACTGGAAAGCTAGGAATTGTTACCTGCCACAGCTGTTACACTCCAATAAGCTTGACATGAGCTTTATGCCCACCGTTGGCATTGTGTCTCGGCTAAGTTGAGGCATTTCAATTTACATAAGATCAGCAATATTTGAATATATAAATTTAGCCAAGTATTCATGCATATATGCTATGTGAACCTTTTTTCTTTCATTGCTAAATGCTAATTATATATTTTACCTGTAGCAGCTAACTCCAATCAGCCGGTTTATGTCTCTGCTAAAGCGTCTTCTACTTATATAAGAGTATCCCTGAGCAAGCGTAGCTCAATCTGTTCTTCAAACTTTTGAATAAATAAATTTATCATTCTATCTGGAAACTTTTGTTTAATATAATGTTTTTGATTTCCAATAACGGATTATACCGCCTCCAGCCCAAGCAGCTTATTCAAAGCAGAACAGTTGATTCTCATTGCGCGTCCAGGAGTATTTTCTTTTCGAACCCATCCATCATGGACATGAACCATTCGGCGACAAACTTAACGCTGGACGCACTTAAGAGCGTCGTCTCGCAAGCTCTTCTGGGCAAATTCACAGCTGTTTTTCCAAAGCTTTTCAAGTGCCAATGGAAGACATATGAAGGTCAGAAGAAGGTTAGTTAGTACATCATTTGATTACATTCGAGGTGGGTCTCTGTCGTCCGCTTAAATACGAATAAAAGTAAAAGTGAACTTTTTCCGGCGATTTATCAATCAAAATTTTAACATTTACTTACTAACAATCCAAAATTCCCTTATCTAATATTTTAATGTTTGATTTCTCCGACTTTCCGGCGTGCAGCTATACGCGAACTTCTCCAAAGACTCCGTCAGCAACATGAGTGGCCGTAAATTCTGCGTGGGTGGCAACTGGAAGATGAACGGCGACCAGAAGTCCATTGCCGAAATCTGCAAAGTACTCTCCGATGCCCAGCTCGATCCCAACACCGATGTGGTCATTGGCTGCCCGGCCATCTATCTGATGTTCGCCCGCAATCTGCTGCCCTGCAGCATCGGCGTGGCCGGCCAGAATGCCTACAAGGTGGCCAAGGGCGCCTTCACTGGTGAGATTTCGCCCGCTATGCTGAAGGATGTCGGCGCTGACTGGGTCATCTTGGGTCACTCGGAGCGTCGCGCCATCTTCAAGGAGTCGGACGAGCTGATTGCCGAGAAGGCCGAGCACGCCCTGGCCGAGGGCCTTAAGGTGATTGCCTGCATTGGCGAGACCCTGGAGGAGCGTGAGGCCGGCAAGACCAACGAAGTTGTCGCCCGCCAGATGTGCGCCTATGCCAAGAAGATCAGGGACTGGACCAACGTAGTCGTTGCCTACGAGCCCGTTTGGGCCATTGGAACCGGCAAGACAGCTACGCCCGATCAAGTAAGTGAACGGCTGGAAATCGCTCCCCTATGATCTGGCTCTCACTTTCACATTTTCACCTTGCAGGCCCAAGAGGTTCACGCCTTCCTGAGGCAGTGGCTGACAGAGAACATCTCCAAGGAGGTGTCCAACTCTCTGCGCATTCAGTACGGCGGCTCTGTGACAGCTGCCAATGCCAAGGAGCTGGCCAAGAAGCCCGACATCGATGGCTTCCTCGTTGGCGGCGCCTCTCTGAAGCCAGAGTTCGTGGACATCGTGAATGCCCGCAAGTAAATGCATCTTACGCCGCATTTGCAGCAGCTCACCAACTGCCCGCACAAGAAACCTGTTAACCACATAGGATATACATACATATATCTCATTACGCAAAATGTTGTTGACCGCTTAGAGAAACGCAATTATGATGGCGCTGGATTGTAGTAATCGAATGTAATTCAAAATTCCTTGTTCTCAAAAGATATTCCTCATAATTTATTCACATTTCGGCATCCACAACACACTTCGAGTTGCAATCAGAGGATTATTTGAATTACACTCATTATATATTTTAAAATTTGGACGCTAAGACCTCAAAATAAATGTTAAAAATATATATACATACATATACACTAATCTGTTTCAAAATACATACTTATATGGAGATAAGTGCAGGTGAGGCATACCTTAGACCTGTGCATGTATAAGACCCGGCATAGTCTACAGATAAGTTTTAATTACTGTTTACTATTGTGCTTTGGACTTTGATAAATGTATATAGAGAAACTGCCTCTGGCCTCATAAAAGAACTGCAGTCGATTGAGTTACTTATACATATATGTTTGGCTCTTTTCGATTATATGATATGATATATTCTATTTTTATTTTATACACACTTTATTATTATTGATATTATCAATATCATCTTACATTTTTCTATTCGATCTATTCTCAGCTCCTTAATGTAGCTCAGTAGGCAGTTTAGGTCCAAATTGACATAATGTAGTCTCAGTCTTCGATCTGTTTCTATTTCTTATCGTTAAAAAGATTGGGTTTTCTAATCAAAAAAAATTTTATATATTATTAAAATTTACACATCAGATTGCCAAATTATATATAAATTTATGTTAGTCGAAAACCCAATCCAGTAGTAAGACAAGAAACAATCTAACGGATAAGCATTACAATGGAACAGCAAATTAAGCAATTATACTATTTCGACGCTATTTTGGAGAAATCAACGCTCAAGCACAAGCCAGGGGAGCCATGTCCTTACACTTATATGATTTGTCCATATAAAGAATACTTTAAAGTGACAGATGATCGTATCTATGGCAAAGAATTCCCCACCGAGGCTCTGGGCGAATTCGTGGCCAACCCATACGAATTGGCTGAGTCCCTGACTTCCAAGGGCATCCGCTTGGCTATCTACGAGAATGGGCAACTGCTGGGCTGCGGCTCCTTCAGGCCAATCGATGATATTCTGCGTCCGCTGACAGAGCCAACATTTACGGCCACCGGTGCCTACATCGTCGATGCGGAGCAGGAGGGGGTGCGAGTGGCGCGCGTGGACTTTAATATCAAGTTTAGCGCTGCCGATCCCCAACTGGAGTGAGTAGCTACTCGCTTTGTTATTGTCTTTATTTATATATACATTGCTGTTTCTTTTAGCTCAGGGATGATTCCGTTCGGCTGCTTTGATATCTGCCGAACGCTGGATACGTCCATCAATCCGCGTGACATAATATTCACGCTGGGCCGCTCCAAGCGAACCGCCGCAGTCGCGTGCATCACGGACAAGCGTCTGATGTCGTTTGGCGAGGCTCCCTTCAGCTGCGTTCGCAAAGAGGTCCACTCGACTGCCGGCTGTGGCTGCGTGGTGCACGGCACGGATACGGTGTTGCCCAAGGCACTGGACCGAAGCAAGGAGTGCGAGCGCGAATTGCTCAATCGGCTGCTCATCGAGCTGGAGTACGACAAGATGTTGGTGCCCACACCGCCGCCGACCCACGCGCTGTCCAGGCAGTTCAACGGCTCGAGGCAGGCGAACTACTCGAGGCAAGCGAAGTGTAGACCTGGACAACAACGTTGCGGCTGATCGGGTGCCGGATCACGTCTACCGGCTGAACTACCAGCAGAAGGTGTACCTCACATACTACGCCTACAATCGGCAGTGGCTGATTGGAAATGCGGCATTGGCTCTCAAACTGCTGCCAATGCCAAGGACCTGGTCGAATGCTGGTGGGGGGTCCCTCTTAAGACATTAACAAAGCCCGCACTGTAATGCGGACGGATAGTAGTGATCGAATATTTAAATCGAAATTCCTTGTTCACAAAATGCTCTGAAGATTTTAACTACAGATTTATGCAAGGTTTTGCATTTCAAATAAATTTCAAATATCTGTCAAGTCACGAAAAGAGTTCACTTATCTTGGCATAGTTTACTTATTACGGCGGAAGATTGAAAGGCCAGCAAGGCCATACATGAATGGTTTAGCTATATTCTTGGTATATTGCTATATGAATACTTTATACACTCACATTATGATTCAGTGGTGGCTTTCTCTTTTATACTACGAACCTTAATAACAGCGTTTGGAATTAATGATCTCAAAATCCCTAAAGCTGCTTGCAGTTGCCGAAGAAATCTGCATAATCAAATGTATATATCGACATCTAGTTCACGTATATCAAGTTTTTCGAAACACATGTTCTCCGAATCTGAACTCAGCATGCTTTTTAACAAGGTTTATTCATTTCATATCAAGTCAATTACAGTAGATCAGTCTTTCCAAGCAGCAAATTTTATATGAATGAAAAAAAATTATTTTTTTAAATATATATTTTTACAAATTATATATAAATATTGGCAAATTTCATATAAATTACCATTGGCCGTACATCCAGTTGAGGAATCGTACAATTCAAATGCTTCATTATGGATACACTTAAGCAGTGCTATGCGTTCAACATTATCGTGCTGCAATCAAGTTTGCCCGTTATCGAGGAGGAGGAGAGTCCGTATAGGTATCGAGTGCGTATATACAATGAGTTCTTGGAACTGTCCCCAGATCGAGTCGTAGCCGAACACTTTCCAAGTAATCCGATAAGTACCGTTGTGGCTAGCCCCTGCGATTTGGTTGGCTCCCTGAGCTCCAAGGGCATCTGCGTGACCGTTTACGAGAATGACACTTTGTTTGGCTGCGGCACCTGCAGACCTTCGACTGGACTGCTGCGCATGCTGGCGGATCCCACCTTCTCGTGCACTGAGAGCCTTGCCGTCACCTTGGAGAAGGGCAAAAGGCGCATGGGCCAGCTGCAGCTTAAGATCAATATCAGCTCCGTCGATCCGGATCTAGAGTGAGTAGCGATTGCCGAGCAACACAGGGAGAGATCCATATAATTTGTCTGTTCTGTTTCCCCTCAGCGCCCGCCTGCTTCCCTTTGGCTGTTACGATGTCTGCCGGCCGCTGGACAAGTCCGTCAACCCGCGTGACATAATATTCACGCTGGGCCGTTCCCGGAAGTGCGCGGGCACCAGCTGCATCACAGACGAGCGCCTCATGTCGCAGGCCGGAGCACCATTTAACTGCACGCATAAGGAGAATCCGCCGGCTGGCAAGGAATGCAGCTGTGGGGTGCGCGGGGCGAAGACACCGCCATCACTGGATGCAAGCAAGGAACGCGAACGTAAAATGCTGAAGAAGCTGCTCGTGGATCTGGAAATAGACAGGGAGCGTGTGCCCACGCCGCCATCGTGTCATGAACGCTCCAGGCATTGCCAGTGCGTTCGATCAAGCAGCGACAGCAGCAGCTCATACGATTCCAGCGACAGCAGCCTGTACCAGGATCGGAAGTTCAGGCAGAGCGAGCCGGAATTCGATGCCACACTTTCGCCTCAGCAGCTGGAGGAGCTGCAGGAAGTGCGCAAGCGCGCTCTAGGCGCCTGTCCCATCATCAGGGCACCGGAGCTGGCCACTCCCAAGTACACGCCCCCGCTGCTGTGCTCCGTGTGCCATGCCAACATCACGTGGCTGCCCAAGTTTGCCGCCTGCCCGTATTGCGGCTACAGGCGCTGCGACCTGGAGCAGCCCAGCGAGGAGCCGTTCGATGAGATGGCCACCGCAGCGGACGTCCTGCGCGATCACGTGCTCCACGCGCGCGTTAGCAGTGAGTCCAGCCAGAGGCGGCGCTTCACGTGCGGCAACGGTGATTCGGCGTCATGCAGCGCCACCAAGATCACCAAGACCTGCACCTGCAAGGGGGGACGGGTCTGCACTCGCTGCCGCATCCAGCAGCTCTGCGATAACATGATCGATACGAAGCCCAAGTCGCCGGAGAGCAAGTCGCCTGCGCGGCCCCTCTCGCCGAAGAAGACGCCATCGACACCCTCGCAGCATCGCCAACATCTGCTCAAGATCTTCTCCGACATGCAGAAGGTGGTGGGCGGCAAGCCGTCCGCCAAGGAGGTGACCGAGAACGTGCTGAAGCAGTGCGCAGAGGTCACGCGGAAGGGCAAGAAGGGTCGCCGACGGTCGACGTCAATCAAGAAGCTGCTTAGGGAAATGGAGGAGAGTGTGCCAACCAAGCGCAAGAAGAAATCCAAGTGCTCGAAGCGAAAGAGCAAACGTCGCAAGTCCAAGCGGTAAGTTAGCACCCAGACCATCCATCCATTGGGAATAGTGTGATCAATGGCAGCCCCCTTCTCGCCTTCAGCTATACGTTCCTGGTGCGCAAGGATACGATTCGGCGGCCAATCACCCATCACTCCTGCTCGCAGGGCAGCGGCCGAGTGCCCTGCCACATGGGCTGGATGTGGACCAAGAGCGAGCTGGCCGCCCACCACAAAAGCTGGAAGCCGGGCGCCATCAAGAAGTCCATACGGGAGCTGATGGCCTATTTCCTGAAGGACTATCCCGCCGACAGGATTGTGAACTCGCGCTTTCACTATCGCACCCGCAAGGAGCCAGACAAGTGCGCTGTCGAGGAGCCCCTCATACAGCACCCGACGCTGCATATAGTCAAGAAGCACGACGAGTACACCATCACCCTGCGGCCGCTCAAGGATGCCAAGACCCTGGCGGTGGCTGCCAATCCGTATGCGAACATGAAGCCAGTCGTCTTTCGCATTTCCAAGGATCCAATCGCGACCGGCAAGCGCAACATTAAGCTCGGCCTCAGCGACAGGGGCTACGATGTGTGCACCTGCGGTCAGCCGGTGTCCCACTGCTTCTGTCGCAGTCATATCGACCAGAAGCTCCTCGTCGAGGATGTGAAAATTCTGAGCGCGGAGCAGGGCTGGCAGGACGTCAGCGACACCTTCGTCTACTCTGACCTCAGCGAGAGTGACAGCGACAACGAACTGGAGTTTGGCGTGACGCCGCCGGCGGGCATCGTCAAGCCGGAGCGCTGCAATCGACCCGATCGGGTGAACTGTGAGACGCAGTACAATGAGAACGACTGGGCCCTGCCCACCATGTATCCGCATCCGCCCAACGCCCAGGTGCAGTACGGTGGCTGCGTCATAGGCGAGCGCAAGGACAGATTCCCCTGGATCTTTGGCAAGGGCTTCGTGCATCGGGAGCCAAAGCCGCCCAAAATGATCAACAGACGTAAGACAGACAAGCCCAAGGCAGCAGACAAGTCCAAGGGCCGACTGAAGGGTGGAGCCGACACCGCAGTTTTCAGAGGCGGTTTCGATCCATACAGCGGCAAGCCCACCTGGCTCAAAGCAAACTAAGCGAATCTAAAACTAGAATCGAGAAATGAAATTTTAAGTAAAGGAAAAATCTCACGAATCTGTTGTAAGCACGATGGGAGACAAGAGCAACGTGGTCAATTGGTCAGCAAAGCGGAGCAGCCAGCAGTGTGCAGATTTTAAGTTAAATATCAACTTTTATGTAACTTAAGGAAACATTTTACAAGTCTAAATCATAAATAAATAGTGCTCTATATGCAAAACGAAATTGTGCACGACTTTGCCAAATTGAATAATTGAGTTACACAAGCGCAGTAAATAATTTGCATAGAGATATCTGATTATGGCACGCATATGTAGTTGCGAAAAAATTGTTGATAATTTGAGTGAACATGGAAAAAAATTCGCGAAAAGATTTCTCAAATTATTTAAAAGTTATGAAATGGTTAGGAAAATCTTCGAGTTTGATATAAATATTCCTAGAAAATAACATTGATAATATATTTATTTATTTCATCTTTCATAAACCTAAAAATTAGCATATAAATTGTAGAGCCTATGCCAAGACCTTGAGTTGAACAAAGTGAGCCATGAGACTTTTAAAAATTACTTGGTTGGAGCTGTATAAAATTCTAGTCATACTCTATTGAAATTTCAACGCGTTGGCTTTCAGGCTCGAGCGAATAAAAATTTATAGCATCGAAATTGTAGTTCGTGTATTTGAAATTGAAATTAACCGTAGTTACCATATATCAAAATTATAATATACATATATATATTTTTATTCAGTTTATCTTATTCGTAGACAACGCGTACTTTGCACAATGCCGAAGGCACCATGCTGCTGGGCATCGAACGAGCTGAGCAGGGATAAGGAGAACTATATACGCTGTTCAACCAGACAGAATCCTCAGAGCAATGATACTAAGGATAAGAAAGGCAAGCCGGACAAGAATATGTGCTGCGGGCCAGCGTTTCGCTTGCAAATGGCCAAGGAGGCCGAGAAGGACACCAACGTTGACATCGACGCCATGTGCGGTCCGAAAGGCAAGGGCAAGAAGAAGGTCAAGCCCGACAAGGACAAGTTCCGGTGCTTCGTGGCCAACATGATCTGCATGAAGCTCTATATGCCCGGCCGCGACTTTGAGGACCGAGACCAGCTGCAAATGAACGTGGTCATATGCAAGGGCTGCACTCCGGTCTTGTGCTCGAGCCGCATCGGGGTCAACTGTATGCCCTCTGAGCCGAGCGCTCGATTCTCAATGCTGCCCGAGTGTCTGGACAAGGCGCTCACGGATGGCGTCAATCTGTCTGTGAAGTACATGAATAAGGAAATCGGTAAGCAGTGGATCTAAGTTTGTTTTATACCTTTTATGTGTGTGACTTGAGCCACTGTTTGTCTAGGACGCGGCTGCTTTGCCCCGCCAGATAGTGTCATACTGCGGATGACCAACACAACTGAAGAGGTTGTCTATACCACAGAAGTAGAGCTGACATGTAAGGGCTGTACCGTGGGCCTGTGCACAGTACGCCTCTCGATGACCATGCAGTGTCAAAGCATCGAAGAGTAAGTAAGCTCCACGGCTGCTGGCTGGAGCCTGGAAGCCAACAAAAAAGCCGATGGCGCCTGAAATTCAATAGAGTAATGGACACGGACATGGACCTTTGCAGCGATGACGAAACCGACGATGACGGCGACGGCGACCACGACGACGACGACGATTGCACTGGCGTTTCAATGGGGGTGGATACAGATAGCTCTGCAGAAACCTCTTCCGATCCATGCCAGGGCTTCGTCAGCATTGATGATCAGTCGGACGATTCAAACAACTTTTGTGATACATCCAATAACAACAGTAGAACTTGTGGCGGTGACGAGGTGAGTAGCTGCATTCGTACCAGGTCAACCACTGATCGTTTCGGTTTCGGGTGGTTCTAGCTGCGGTCGCGCAAACTGATCGACGTGGCTGGACCGTATAATGTATACAGCGCCGACAAGTCCGACAATGGCTGCTTGAAGATCGAGGCATCGGCCGGACCCGGCCATCAGTTCTCATTCGGCTCGCGATCCTATTTGGGGGAAGGCAATGTGAATCGCATGTGCTCGCAAGCCTCGGCGCCAAAGCTGAAGCAGATGGGTGTGAAGCCGGAACGTTCGTGCCTCATGTGCCACGCGGATGTGTCCTGGCTGCCCCAGATAGCGGCGTGTCCGCACTGCGGCTACAAGCCGCTGCCCATATTCACGGAGAAGGAGTACGATGAGTCGGCCACGGCCAAGGACATCATCGTTGACTTCTTTCAGCAGAAGAGCAGCGAGTCGAAGATCTCCAACACCAACACCTGCCACGATTTTGGCTCTGAATCCAAAACCGAGGAGGCATTCGAATCGATTGTGAGCGATTACAAATCACTCAAGCAGAGCATTAAGAAATGCAAAAGTATACAGCCATGCAACAAGACCTCGTCAAAGAAGTTGCCTACAGACTTGGTTAGTATTTTCGCGGAAATGAAGAAACTTTTCGAGGTCGGCGAAGATGACTCGGATAAGAAGCTGAAGATCAAGCAAATCTGCGATGAGGCCTGCAAGCTGGCCAAAGCATCGAAGAAACACCGGAAACACTCGAACAAAATCTCAGATCTTTGCGCCGAGCCCAAGAAGACGAAGAGACGCAAGGCGCAGCCAAAGTTTAATGTAAAGTCCAAGGTCTATGCGCCCATGGATAAGCTGGCCCATCCTCGACTGGGCCACACCCATTGTTTCGACGATGGACGCATGGTGCCCGGCCACATGGGCTGGCTCTGGACGGACAATCCATTGGCGAAGCTGCCCGGCTGGCGACCCGGCGCCATACGCCGGTCCATACGCGAGCTGATGGGCTACTTCCTCAAGGATTATCCCGTCGACAGTATACCCATATCGAAATATATGTCGTATCACAAACAGAAGCCAAAGCCCAGCCACGAGATGGAGGAAAATCCAGAGGATTTGGTGCAATTGCCGACTCTGCACATCGAGAAGAAGAACGACGAGTATCTCATCACGCTGCGACCGCTCAAGGATCCAGAGACGCTGAAGCGGGCCGCCAATCCCTATGCGAATATGAAGCCTGTGCAATTTCGCATCGTGAAGGATCCGCTGCTGAAGAAGGTGCGGGAACTGAAGCGATGCCTCAAGAACATGGGCTTCAGCAAGTGCAAGTGCCACAGGCCCGTGATGCAGTGCTACTGCCGCAGCTTCATCGACAAGAAGCAGCTGGTGGATGAGTTGCAGCGGCAGTGCGCGAAGCGTGAGATGCACAACTGCGAGAACGAGCTGGTGCTCTCAGATACCACGGACAGCGAGGCCGAATTCGATTTTGGCGTGACGCCGCCGGCGGGTCTAATGCATCCGGAGCGACTGAAGGTCAGCCACAGGACCAACGCAGAGACGCAGTACAATGAGAACGACTGGGCCCTGCCCACCATGTATCCGCATCCGCCCAACGCCTACGTGCAGTACGGCGGCTGCGTCATAGGCGAGCGCAAAGACAGATTCCCCTGGATCTTTGGCAAGGGCTTCGTGCATCAGGAGCCAAAGCCGCCCAGAATGCGCAACCCGCCCAAGAAGACAGAAAAGAAACCAGCTCCCGGGTCAACAAAGCCCCGCCAGAAGGGAGGCTACAATAGCGAATCTCAGGCAGCGACTACTTTGGAGAAGGATCGCAAAGATAGTCAATCATACGATGCGCGCCATCAGCGCATCAACCGAGCTGCCTATCCGCCGACTGCCAAGCAGTTCCAAAAGGTCACTTCGAAAGTTTCCCTGAACTCCAAGAAAGTACGATTTTCAGCTAGTAAAACCGAGAGGTTCAGTACGTAGTCGTATCGAAATTTTTATTTGATCAATTTTTTTTAAGTTTTAGCCAAATCTTCAGATAATAATTAATTTCGCTTTATACAAAATAAAAACCGCACAAATTTTAATCTACAAATCGATGGAGGTTGTTTTAGCAAGGGGAAAGAGAACTGAATTTAATACAGGTAGGGAGGAGGGGTAGAGCCAGTGCAATTAGTTCTAATAAATGTCTTTCATTGATGATAATTGTATAGTATGAGGATGAGAGTCGCACAGAAGAGCTCGCTATTTATACAAAAGAGCTGCGTACCTCCAACAAAAACATAGGAGGGCTCTACCCTTAACTGGGAGTGATGAGAATCGCTAAGAAAGATGCCTAGAAGTACTCTATCCTTGATTGATGAGAATCGCACAGTAGAACATATTTCTTGGAGAATACCTGAGTGTAACTCTACTTTAAAATGGTGTTTCCTTAGGCACTACCACATATAGACTCACATGCTCACTCACATGTGCATATTGTAAACTTAAATTGGGGTCATATGCATGTTGACCTTGTCCACAGCCCAAACCGGGGTATGTAAACAAACCGTTCTTGTGACTTTGATGTTACCCAACTGTCATTGGTTGCATAAAATGTGGATTAATCGGAACGGTGTTGTTTATCTAACCTTTGAGGCGCGCATGATATAACAGTAAACAGTGCACACACAAATTGCAAGCACCCACACACACACACACACTAACACACATTCACAAAAATTCAAGTACAGCATACCAGTAATAAATTAATAATCTGTGCTACCGTTCGTCACGCTCTGTTGATGCCACCAATTGTTGCTGCCGTTTTGACTGGCAGCAGTTCCATGTTTGTCTAACCTTATGCCATGAGCTGAGCAAACGTATTCGCAATCGACGGAACTTTGACGACGAATTTGCATGTCATCCCAGCCAGCTGATCCCATATAATCTCAGCCTCTATCCAGCTTTACCCCACCCGAATCGCTTGGCTTTGCCATCTCCCAAGTATTCCACTTAATTTGTTCGCTTTAGTTTTAATGAATTTGTCGCATAGTATCTTGATGACAGAGCCAAGAGCCATGAAATTCATGTGGCACTTACATGGCATTACTTTCCAGAGAGAGTCGCTACAAAGAGCTAACTGACGGCTGGGCCTGCGCTCAGTGGCACTCGAGACTCGGAGCGAGCAGCACGCGCAGAGCCGTTCAGAATGCATCAACATTGGGCCTTAAGTCTGGGTCTGTTGGGCGTCGTCTTACAGCTGCTGGGCCATGAGGCCACGCCCAACGCCTACGGCGACCATTACTACAACAATGCGAGTGTCAGGCAGCTGCGCTTCCACGACTTCGAGCCGCGCGAGGAGAGTGTGGTCAGAGATGAAGGCGAGAGGCGTCAGGCGCGCGGCTTTCACTTCAATGCCAGCGGCGAGGATGTCAGCGTCGAAATGGAGTTCATAATTCCCATGGTCAAGGTGCCCGTGAAGCGCAGCATGCAGCTGGCCCGCGATGCCGTCCAGGGTCTGCTCAATCTGCGCGCCACAGCGCTGCTCAACACGGCGCTGGTTGTGGCCGCCGGCGCGATTATAGCCGGAGTCGTACGCCTGGTGCTGGCGCCCCTCGTCTTTACCACCCTTAGCAGTGCAAATGGCTACGGCTACGGCTATGGCAATGGCTATGGCTACAGTGCCAAGCAGCACGAGAGCAGACGTGGCAGTGAGTAGCCCCCAGCTAATATGTGTTCATTTTTAAGTTCTCTATCTCTCCTCTCCCTCCACTCGCCCTCTCCCCTTCAGTGCGTAGCCTGACACAGGTGCTGGAGTCACAGCTGGACGCGCACAGCATCGATGTCTCCGTCTGTGCACAACGCGCCATTTGCCACTACTTGCAGCAGAATGCGGCACAGCTACAGCAGCCCACTCCAAGCTGGCCAACAGCCGGCAGGCTCATCAATGTTCTCGTCCAGTGAGTATTCACTGTACTTGCAAGTCTTCCCACTTAGCTAATCTCCTGCTGCCCACAGCTCCCGCTGGCTGGACACCTATCTGAATGGCACCGCCGTCTACAGCGCCATTGATGTGGCACGCAGCAGCCGCAGCTGTGGCCACGCCTACCGCGGCTGCAGCTGGCCTCAGCTCTCGGGCAGCTTCCTGCACAGATCTTGGCCAACTATGTTGCAGTACTTTAGTGGATATCGTTCTGCTTAGTTCTTTAGTTGTTAATTATTTATTTGCTTATAAAATGAATATTTGTGTTTAAGAAATATATATATTTTTTATTTATAAAATTTTAAAAAATGTATTAAATAAATATTTGAACATAATAAAAACGGTATTTTTATCTATATACAAACAATTTTTGATATAACTTTAATATTGGCTTCTTAACTGAATTCTAAAAATATGAAAACAAAAAAATTTTTTTTTTATTTTTAGTTTTTACCCTTTATTTGTCCATAAAGTGTACGCAAATAAATTTGAAAAATAATTTTTAAAATTCTTAAAATGTTTTTTTATGTAGTAAGTACTATGGCATGTTGGAAATTTACTTTATTTAATAAATAAATAATAAAAACTAAAATAACAAAGTTTATTCACATTTTATTATTTTATGCCAGTATTATGTTAAAAATTAAATGATTATTATACTATTGATTTTTTTTAGATTTTTTTCATTGTGATGGATTTTCTGGCAATTTATAGAAGTGGAGAAAAAAACTTATCGCTTAAATTACAAATTTTAATTCAAAAATGTTTGATTTAGTATTTCATCTGTTTGTCTGTCTCAGTATGCACACCATATCTACTACCTCAGCCCATACAATCTGATTCATATATCATATCTATCTATATATATCATCTACATACATCATCTATATCGTTTTCAGAGGTTGCTAATTTTCTGAAACAATATGACATTTCCTTTGTTTCTCCTGCTCTTCTCTGCTACATATCCATTCCACATTTTCCAACCATTTTCAATAGGTCTTTAAGCCAACCTAAAAACACATTTAAATCAATCTCTTATGCCATCCATATTTACCCATCTTTTGATCTAACGGAAACACTCTCTGTCAATCGGCCATCCATATTTACCCATCTTTTGATCTAACGGAAACACTCTCTGCCAATCGGCTTTAAGTGTTTACCTTTGTAACGGCTGCTTCCTCAATTGAGGCGCTGGAAACAAAACGTTGTCGCACCTCAGCTCAGTTGGAGCTTATGTCACGGCTGCGCAACAGCCACAGAGCTGCAGCAGCAGCAGCAGCAAGTGGAGCTCAAATGCGACGCAAATTATCACAGCCAAGAGGCAACGAAGCGGCGACTGGCTAAAATTACTGACGGCACGTAACTAACCAAGACGCCGCCAGCCGAAATGGATTTCAAATCTGCGACAGCAACACAACGGAGCAGACGCGGCCAGCCGGAAGCATGCAGTTCCTGTATTTGATTACAACGTGCCTCATCCTGTCCAGCTGCGTGGCAGCCGAGTCCGAGGAGACGCAGCATGATGGCAGAGGCGCCACAGCTTCAAGCAGCCACAAGCAGCAGAAGAGCAATCAGGGATTCCGTCTCATATCCTTCGACAGCGTTGACAAGGATCTGGCGCTGGGTCTGAACTATCTGATGCCATTTGTGGAGGTGCCGATCAAACGTAAACCCAATGCACCGCCTCGAGTAAGTAGTTTGAAGAATTCATTTATGATACACTTAAAGAAAAATACTAGATATATTTTGTACATGAACTAAAGTCTAACTCAAATACCTCAACTTGTTCTTACCTGCCTTGTGCAACTATTTGAGACTATATATATTTCTCTGAGTGTATTTTCCTCCTCCTCTTGTTCACCCATTGCAGCCGTTGGTAATCGTCAATTCCGCTGCCATCCTGAGCTGTGGCCTGGTGGCCGCCGGCGGCTTCGCAGTGGGTCATCTCATACGCAGCATGGGCCTGGAGACAATAGTGCCGGCTGGCAAGAGCGAGACTGCCGGGGAGCACGCTGAGCGCCGTCTGCTCGACGAGAAGCAGAGTTTCCTGCAGCTCTTCGATAACTTCAAGCTGATCTATCGCAATGCCAGCGGCGAAAGAGTGGGTAAGTCGAATAGCTACAAGTAAACCTATACTATGCAAGCAAATGCTATACTCATATCATATTCCCGCACAGAGACCGGACTGCCCAGCCTGCTGAGCACCATCGAACGCACCTTTCTGGAGAACGACATCAATCTGCCCGTGTGCCTGCTCAAGTCCATTTGCACGCTGACCCACAGAGCGGGCGAGAGTGTGCGCAGTGGCCAGGCCTCCGACTTGGAGCTGATGGTGGATGGCGCCGCCAACTGGTCCTGGCTGCTCTCCTGGCTGGAGCAGTCGGCACTGCGCCAAGCCATCGAAGCGGGCCGCACAGCCAATCCCAACTACTGCACCTACGCATATCCGCAGTGCAAGTGGAAGGCGCCCGAGGAGCAGCTGCTCGAGCTGCTGCGGAATAATGTGCGATTCAAGTGAGGTGAGCTGAGATGACGATGAAGAGTTCCACGTCTCTCAAAGTATTTTCCAATATATATAAGCATATGCTGAAATAGTAATTTATTCCTTTCCAAGCCCTAAAAATACCCAAAACCATTTCCCAAGCAAAAGTCGAAACTTTTTGTACGGCATCTTGAAACGAATTCTTAATTTATTTAATCATTATCATTATTAGCAAAACATTGATTGTGAATGAACATAAAACAAAATTGAGTTTGAATAACATATAGTATTGATAGAGCATTGCATACTAGTATATAGACGTTGCTTTGTGAACTATAGTCGTCCTCTAGAACTAAAAGCTAAAGCACATTTAGATCAAAAGACGAATGAAACACAAATTGAAAAAAATTATTTAAATTGACATGAAATTATTGAACTGCTGGCAAAGTTTAGAATTATTTAGCTTCTTTTTTTTTTAACAGAAATGCACAAAAATTGAAAATTATAAATCAAAATAAATTGAACTGTTGAAATCTGTACGACTTAATTATTTAAACACATATTTTTTAACATTTGAACTTATTATTTGGACTTAGGACTAAACGTTATTTGAAGATGATTTGTAAAGTTTTTATTTTTTATTTTTTTTTTTTTATGTTTTGTATTAAAGATTTGCAAAAAAGTTATTTTTTTGTGTTTTTTTTTTTCACAGCTTTTGCGTTAAAAATCTGCTCGGATTAAAACCGTCACCAAAATTTTTCATTTTTCTTGAGCAAAACCTATGAAATTTAATTTTTTTTTTTATAATTTTCTTAGTGTAATAAAATTGTAATCAATATATATTTTTTTCTGATTTTTCTTTTGGGGTCTTTTCTTTTTCCTCTTCTTCTCAACTTTATTGTTACATGTAGAATCATTTATATACTCATCTGTTCTTGGCAGTTAAAGTTGCTACAAAACTATTCAAAATATGTTGAACCCTTCCTGTTTTCTTTTTTTTTTCTCTTATTTTTTTCATTGTTGTCAGTGTATATGCGTGAGTATGGGCGTGGTCGTTGGCTTTTTGTTATTTGTATGTTTTTAATTTCTAAATTTACGTAAGGCTCAAAATTCAATCTTTTGTTTATGTTTTGATTTCACTTCCTTAAATGCCAAACTAAACGAAACCCAAAAAGAAAAATAAGAAAAGCCTACGTAAAAAACAAATGCAATGCCTCCCTGCCTGCCTGCCTGCCTGCCTGTCTGTCTACCGTGATTGTTGCACAGGCGCTTAGGGTATCTGGAGACAGTCCAGCACACCGTCAAGCTCGAAGCTGCTCTCCTCGGTCATGTTGTAGTCGTCGTTGCACAGGTCCATCAGGTAGGGGGTGCGCAGCAGCGGATTGCTGCTGTCTATGAACGATATCGATGACTTGCGACTGGTCGCCTTGCTCCTCAGCTGCTGGCAGAAGTCCTCCTCCTCTGCCTCTGCCTCGGAGAGCTGCGGAGGCGGAGCCTCTGGCACCGAGGCCACATCCATTTGCTCGGTGCGCCGCTGCATTTGCGGCGAGCCCGCGTCGGCCAGGCTGCTCTCATCGAAGCTGCTGTCACTGGAGGCATCCGTGTCGCAGGCGGTCAGGCCCGGCGGCATGGAATCATCTAAGGAGGCCACAGAACTGGCATCGCCGTCGCCGCCCAGAGGGCTGGCTGCCTCGCCGCTGCCAAAGACCGGCGACAGCTGCAGATTGGTGCCGCTGATCAGCGGATTGTGGCGATAGTTGCGCAGCACCGAGGCAGTTGCCGTGTGGCAGTGCAGCGGCATCGAGTACTTGAAGGCGTCGGCCGATACGAGAGTGGGCGCCACCACCTGCTCCAGAGAGTTGTCGTCGATGATCATGGGCACGGCTGCGTCCTCATTGTTATTTGCCTGCATAGTGGGGGGGAGAGAGAGGGAAAACAAACGAAAAGAAGATACATTAGTAATAATCTACTCAATGGAGTGTAGCTAATTACGATTATTAATTTATCGATAAGTTAAAAGTGCGTGTCTCTAACAGCTATCGATAAATTTACAATCTAAAATTAAGGGTAGAGCTGCCAAGGAAGGGGACTAGAGCTGGATGCGCTACGTTACTGTAGATATATTATTTTGTTATCGATAGCAATTGATAATAGTGTAAACAAAAAATATATAAAATACTTTCTCAATAAATGTATAGTAATCGATACTTATCGATTTATATCGATTATTCAGACCTCAGTTATATGCATACAGTTTTTGTGCTTTACATTTTGTGTCCTCTTTCTTATTTTTGTAATTGTAAATGGAACGATTTGTGGTTATTTCTTACTATAAATTACAACTAACTTAAATGCGAGTACAATCTATGCAAATTTAGCTTAAATTAAACGCTTAATTACTTAATTACGCTAGCAAAATCGTAAACCACTTTCTAAGCCCATTAAAATACCAGCTAAATGCCTAATTCATATTCAGAGCGAAGAGCAGCGCTGCGATTAAGGAAACCAGTCGAAAAATCAAGCCCGAATGGCAAGCACAATTTGTTGTCTAAGCCACAGACGAAGCGCAAATATTTAAAGTCACGAGACAGGACAATGGTGCAGCCTCACTCCCACGCCCACGCCCCCTGTTCTCCCATACCCATGGGAGCACAAAGGGATAAGGGCACAGCGCACAGCAGCCAACGGCACTTGAGTCCATCAAGAAGTCGAGCACGAAAAGGCGGTCGCCTCGGCAGCTACTCGATATAAATCATATTTTAATGATGGCCCAGCCGGAATTCGTTACAGTAATAGAAGACGACAAAATGGGGGGTTCTTAGGGAATATGATTATGCTGTATTCTGGTTACAAAAACATATATATATATATATATGTATGCATGCAAAAAGAAGAGGAAAAACCACACACAAAAGCAGCGTCAAATGCCACAGGAAATCAAGCACATATCAATCTTCAAGTGAGGATGGGACGCGTTTTCAATAATGAGCGCAAATGATGTAGATGAAATGGCCAACAAAAAAAATATATATATATAATAGGAGAAAGTGATTGGTCGGTGGTGCGGTGGTGCAGCTGAGGCAACCGACAGCAAATGGGGTCAAAGTTCGAGTGCAGTTTATTGAACCAAGCGCGCTATTTGCAATGCTTTCACAGCGCTAATTGCAACTGGGCAACAAAAAGCGAAAGTGCTGTAAGTTGATCGATGGGCAAATACGGACCAGACAAAGGGCCGTATCGCTGATGAGGTCCTGTGGGGAGAGCGCGGCAGCTGTCAGCAAAAATCTGCGCCTTTTGGCGACACATTAACAGCTGCCTAGTCACAGCAATGCACAGCTACAGATACATAGCAATAGATACACACACACACACACACAGACACACTTTCCTCTACCACCACCATCATACGGTCGCATAACGAATTCATAGAGAGTAAAGTGGAGAAAAAATGTGCTCGGCACGCGCCTACACTACACAACACACAGCCTACAGCCGCCCACAGCCGCGGGCGTGGTTAGGTGGCCAACTAACGCTACCAGCCGCCAAAGCCATAATAAATGCCAAGCACATTGTAATAGGTTTACTGTATGATATATTGTTTGGCGTGCGTCTATATTGGGCTTACCGCCAAAAGTATCAAGCCATCGACCAACGACCATCGACATCGACATCTACATCGACATCGGCTCGACATAGACTCGACATCGACCTAATATGCCACAATAATAAATTATTAAAGCCCAAACAAAAAGCAGGTTTAAGCCGAACAGGCACATTACAATAATTGTTTAGTTATCCTTAGGGAACTGCGCAGCAAGTCACACTGACAGCAATGTACTGTGGCACGAGCAGAGCATGAACGACTATTAGATGCTAGTTAGAGAGAGTGAAAGAGAGAGAGAGGGAGAGAGAGAGAGGGAGAGAGAGAGAGAGAGAGAGAGTGTGTTTCTATGTACGAATCACATGTATTTTCTGTCTTGCTTCTACATTTTCCAGAGTCAAACTAGGTGAACTCAAACTTTTAATTTTAAATATGTAATTTTCAAATCAGAAAAATGATCAAAAATCGATATTTATCGATATATGCGAATGCAAGTAAATCCTTAAAGAAAAGTTTTGGATATTTATAGTGAAGCAACTTTAACTATTTGCTAAACAATTTGATAATTCCAAGAGCTTTCGATAGACTACCAGAGTAATTATTATCACCAAGTAATTATTATCGATCTTGGCTATTATAACTATTCTATAGTATTACCTCAATGGCAAAATTTGATAACAAACCCATTTGAGACACTTGCTAAGTAATTTTTTCCATATTCCAAAAGCTTTTTATGATGAGATCAAACTCCCGTATTAAAATTAATTTTCTGAGTAAACTCGTAAACAGCAAGAGCAAACTCTTGCCCGTCACAGCTTTGCCTGCCAGATATTAACATACCTTTGTGGCACTTAACACCTTTCATTCATTCGCCCATTATAATACCTTCTTTTCTCGTCAGCTTTATGATGGCCTACAGGGTATATAAAAAATATATATATCTGCTGAGCTTTGCAGCTCTTTAAAGCAACATTTAATTGGTTTCCATTCTCGTTTTCATTTTCATTTGGGGCTGTTGGGGGCATCTTTCTTTTATTATCAGCGCCCCCAGTTCATTGACATTACGTGCCCAAATGAAATGAGTCACTTGGGCGCCTCTTTAAATGCACAGCCGAGCGCAAAGTAATTAAAGCTAAAAGTTTGCCGCAGCTACGCCTGGTGTTGTCCCCACCCCCAGGCCCAACCCCTCTCTCCTCATTTAGGCACTGATAGCCTACTTCTTGGCACAGCAGCTGAAAGGAAAAGTCGAGGCTTGCTGGGTCGCCTGCTGTTGCGGGCTAGCGGGTCACATTTGATGTTTAAATTCTGCAGAAGTGGGCGTCTGGCATTTGACGCTCACGTTGCATGTTGCGTAATGCTTGTGGCAGCCAGCAAGCTCCTGGGACTGAAGCGCACTTATCGAGGCATGCGGCTCGGCTCGAAATTGATTTTCGTACGACCAGTGGAGCTCGTAGTGGGCTCTCTGGCAATTCGGTGCCACGCACGAAAGGCTTACTTCGAGAATCACATCATTGTTTATCAAAATCAATAAGCAGTCGAGCCAACTGCGTGGAACCATGCGTCGTATACGTAATGACAGTTTGCTGAAGCTACGCTTTGAGAAATGCCTGCATAAAATTTGTCAAATTAAATTTTCTCTTCTTTTCGTTTTTGTCACACATCACAATATATAAGGATTTAAATGTGGAGCGCTACACATACACACAAATGAGCGCACACACACACACGCAGAGGGGGAGAGACGTGCTATCAGTTGTGTTTGTGTGTGTGTGCTAAGCATACTTAAGTACGCAGCTTGTGGCTGAAAGCTGACGCCCTTTGGGAAGAAGGCGAAAGTTTTTTTTTTTTTTTTGGTTGAAGTCACTGCTGAGATACCTTAACACAATTGAGGCAAATAAATAAATTATCTAATTTTGTTTCAGTTAACTAAAAATATTGAGTTCTGTTAGAAAGCTAATAATATATCAGGATATGAAATATAACCAAAGAGAAAGAGAGAGAGCAGATAAAAAAGAGTATGAAATTGGATAGATATATTTCTCAAAGCTATATGCCAGAGGGTATATCATAGATATGTTCTATGCAATATAAATATCGATGATATACTCATCTGTCATATAGCTTTGAGAAATATATATATCTGTGATATACTTATCTGGCATATAGCTTTGAGAAATATATCTATCCAACTTCATACTCATCTGGCATATAGCTTTAAGAAATATATCTATCCAATTTCAAAATCTTCATTTTCTGCTCTCGCTCTCTCTCTCTCTCTCTCTCTCTCTCTCTCTCTCTCTCTCTCTCTCCCTCTCTCTCTCTCTCTCTCTCTCTCTCTCTCTCTCTCTCTCTCTCTCTCTCTCTCCCTCTCCCTCTCTTTGGCTGATGATAATAAATCATAAAACAATATATTGAACATATGGTTAGAGATGGTTTTTAATATATGCTCTAGTTCTATATGCTTTGATCTATTCTTAAAACATAATTTACTTACAAATATTATGTATTAAGGATTGATCATAGAAGCATATATTGTAGACATATAACATAGGGGATACCCATCATTACTCATATAATGACATATCCTCGCTATACACTCAAATATCTCTCTGTCTCTCAGTTTCTCTCTCTGTCTACTCGCTCTTCTTCTTGGCATATTCTAATCTCTCTCTCTTTTCTACTCTCTCTTCATCTTGACATATTCAAATTTGTCTCTCTCTCTCTCTCTACTCACTCTTCTTCTTAACGAATTCAAATCTCTCTCACTCTATTTATTTGCCTATCTCTATCTCCAAACACAATCCAAGTGCTCAACAGTAGAGTATATAAAAAATGCTAGCTACAGCTAATAAATGGCCAGATGAAGTTGTGCGATTGGTTGTGATAAGCTAAAGTTGGACCACTTGATTAGGCACAAAAGAGCAGCTGGCAGACGGGCGGGCCGGCAGGCAGGCATCATCATTTATACCAATCAAAAGACTTCCAGGCAGGGCGGAGCATTGAGCTGGGCATTGGCAGATTAATCAAGTTTTGGGCTATCAATAAATATGTATCGAGGCTGGCAGCTGAACACAATAATATTTATGCACATAAATAAAGCCAAAGTCAGCGAAGCGTCGAGACCCCACCAGAAACCCGCCAAAAAAGCAAGCCAATTCGAAAAAAACACACACAAAGTAATTTCTTTTTCTCTCGTTTTGTTTTGCTTTGTGTTTAGCTGATTTCGTGTGTTAAGCTGGCGCTTTTCTTGTTTTTGTTGTTGTAGTTTTATTTTTGCTAAAATATTTATTAAAAGTTTATTAAAATACTTTCATAATCCACATATATATCGATATTCATATATCATATACATATATCGTATCATATTGTTGTTGACGTCTCTTGCTTTATTCGCTTTTAGTTACTAAAAGTTGCGATCGCACACGCATGTGTGTGTGCATATGTATATGTATATGTATACGCTTATTTAATATAATATTGCATACTTTGCGGCATTTAAATACTAGATTTTCTTTACTTTCGTTTTCATTTTCATTTTCTTAGCTTTTCTTCTTAATTTTTTGCATTCATATAAAGTATATTCCATTTATTGGAGTCAAATTCAAGGCTAGTTAAATTTATGCTACATTTTCTTTTTACTATTCACGTGTAAAATTTGACTTAGTTGGAGGTATTTTCCGGTTAGTGTTTCACAACAAAAAACAAACAGAAAAGAGAAATGGAAAATAAAAAGGGAAAATGTGTGAAAATTGTGTTCTGCAAAAGTTTTTGTATAAGCTGCTTATAGAAGCAGGCCCAAGAGAAAAATAGAACAGAAAAAAATATCCTCATTTCATGCTCTGTTGGGGAAGTAAAAGAGAGTATATATGTACGCTACCAGAGCTTCATATATAGAATGTACTCGATAATAGTTGCTATATAGGAAATGCTATATAGGAAATGAGTAAAAAATTATTTCTGAATATATATCTCTCTATATAGAGAGTAGACATTCTCTCAGATATTTTCAGTCAACTGTGAACAGAGCAGCGTGCAGTCGGCTCGACTCTCTTCTCTTGTTGGCACAACAAATTTTCGCAGCCTCGGGCAAATAAAAACTAATGCCGCATAAAAATTGCTGCTCATTTGCTTATGCGACGCGTCGACACTTTGACAAATGAGCCGAAGGGGGGAGGGGCGGTAGAGGGTAGTCAAAAAAAGGTTCTACCACTCTTTTAAAGCGCCGCTGTGGTTCACAAATTTCAGCTTCATTTTGGTTAATTTCCACATAATTTGCAGCAAATTAATCAAGTGTGGACTGCGTGGCGTATGAGCAATATTTTATATACAAAAACTAGTCAATTGAACTAAAAGAGTTAAAGCGAAACAACATGTAATACTATATCTATATATAGTATATATGTATGTAGGTGGGAAAACTGAATCTCATGCTCTCGCGGACCATTAATCAAAATATTGTGCTCCAAATCAATTGCGTTGGGCGGAGAAGTTTTGGAGGAGTTGGAAATTGTGCTTTGTCAGCCTGTCGCGACTTGAGTTATGATGAGTCAACAAATTGGCCAAAACGGATATGTAGCGAGCATGTTGTAACATGTCTGTATTATAGTGTGTGTGTGTATATATAGATATATATGTATGTATATGTGTTGTATATATGTTATCAGTTGTATATTGTTCGGAGTTTTGTAGTTAGTTAGTTAATTCTCATAAAATTTTGCTAAAATTTATTATTATTTCATTTCTGTTCAATTTGACTTTTGATTTTGTTTATATGTATATATATAAATATATATATTTGATCTGAAGCATTCTGAGGTATTTCTGCTGTTTATTCGGCTACTGTTGGACAATAC